ATTAGACAGGCAACTCATTGTTTAGTTCTCCTGAATTTTAACTGCAAATGAAGATGCTATTAATTAAGAGTTAACATTGCATTCTCTCACTCCCCAGGCACAAAAGATGGAACTGTCAGACTTCAGGAATGCTTACCTAGTACATCCCTGGCTGTAGGGTGGACCTGCAGCTTAGAATTTGAATTGATTCCAGGACAAGAAGTAAAACACATTTTTCTAGAATTTGATCCTTCAAAAGCCTCAGGACCAGAGTAGATTGGCCTTGTCTAGTGAAAAAAAAAATCAGTAAGCATTTATTAAGCTCCTACTGTGTGTCAGGTGCTATGCTAGGCACTGGGAGTTAAAAAAAAAAAAAGCCCATGCCTTCAAGAAGCTTATATTCTAAGGGCAAAATATATATACAATATATATGAAGTGATTCTTTGGGGGTAAGTTACATTATATGTGATTATTTTGGGGAAGGTTATATTATTTGAGAGGAGGTCATCTAGGAGATAAAGAAAGTATTTCATGGTGATACTTGAGCTGAGTCTTGCAGGGAGTGTGTTCTATAATAAGGAAATAGTACAAAGGCAAAGATAGGCATGGAATTGGGTATATAAGAAGCAGTACTGAGAAAGAAGGTTCTCAGAACATAGCTAAGCGTGAACTAGACTGAATTGAGGAATGCATGCAGGGGAAAGGTTATCAGCTCTCCCAAAGCCAATTACATTTACCTCTTGGATGGGGAATTTACTTTCAAGTCACTTATAAACACAACTGAAGAAAAACAGCCAAATGAAATCAGAGATTTTGACTTCTGAGAATGACTGTTTACAAGTAGGGACAAAAGCTCATACTGCATGGGTCTTTTTTTAAAAATATGATTTCTATTTCTGTTAACAGAAATGATTATATCCTATGTGAATTACATATCGAAAGTCCAAAACCAATCTTTGTTTTTAATAGAGCAAGATCCTACCAAGCAGCAGAATGACTGTGTGTAGGCCTCTGAGGCCAGGGAACTGAGGCTTATTAGTATGTTCCAGATGGCTCCTGTACTTCAGACATATAACGCTTACTAGCTGTGTGACTCTAGGCAAGTCACTTAACTTCAATTGCCTCACCAAAAAAAAAAAAAAAAAAAGAAAGATAGATGACTTCCTGTTTCATCTCCTATTCTCTGCTACTTTTCCCCCAGTCTTCCCATGGAATTTCTGCAAATCCTGGGTAGAAAAATCTTGGGAAGTCTTTGTCCCACAAACATTTCATAATAGTGTCCTTGGATGAGTGATAGAGAAATGATTATTCCTTTCCTTGGCACAAATTAATTATTACAAGAATATAACTGATATTTAGCTAATATTTAAATTAGGTTAATATGTTTACAAGTGCATAGTTCAAGAAGGTATTTTCTACCACTTGGAGGAACTCTTTGTGATACCTCACTCCCCACTCTGTTTATACCTTCTCATTTTATACCTTCCATACTTCTTCCACACCCATATACACACCCATAGCTAAAGGAGAGGAAAATTGTTATATAGGTTAGGGGCCTCAAAGGAATTGTGAACAAATGACAAAAATTTCCAAGTAGCTGTGGGATAGACCTGGAGAAGTCCGGAAGCAGTAACGGTGTCTATGAAATGCATGACATGAGGGCCACACAGTATAAGCTGTTCTCCATTGTATCTTCTTTGATTGTCCTACATGCCTGGAAATGTTTTCCTTTCTCATATCCTGTCAAAATCCTTAGCTTCCTTCAAGGTGTTCTCTAGAAGTGTTTTCTGATTCCCTTAATCGTAAATGCTTTATTCCTCCTTGAATGGTGCTACACTTACCTAGTAAATGCTGCATTTGGACCACCATCCCCACACCCAGCCCCCAAGTAGAATGAAAACTCTTTGGAGACAGAAACTGGTTTTGCCTTTGTATCCTTAATACCTAGCCCAGGGCTTTGCACATAATGTTTAATATATGCTTGTTGAATTGAATTATAAGTCTTTTCCCTCTTTGCTAGCCATCAGGAAAAGTCTTAAATGGATGAATGTGGTCATAAAATAATGACATTTCATAGGCTAAAATCTCATGGATTGTACATAATATTAAAATGGAGCTAAACCTAGGACAATAAGTTAAACTATCACTTGTCCTCTTGCAACATCTAACTAGGGTGACAACTCCATATTTACATTACAAGGACCTTGAGATCCTTTCTGCCTACCCAGTGTTCAGTTTTGTTTCTAAATCCAAGATGTATCAATTTTTCTTTTGAAATAACTCCTGTGTGTTCCTTCCCCATTCCCATTGCCACAACTCCTAGCTAGGTACACCCTCTTTCTGATAGCCCTTTAGCTGACTTCCCATAGATATCAAATTCTGCCCTCAGTCCATCCTTAGACTAATGCTTTCAATAGCATGATAACTAACCTTATGTTTTTTCAGTATTCCAAATTCCTCCACAGCATAGTGTAGTTGCAAGAGCACTGAATTTGGAGACAGAAGACCTCAGTTTGAATCCTGGCTCTACTACAGTGTTATTATTCTTGCCAACTGTATGACCTCCAGCAAACCAGATGAGTCTCATTTTCTTCATCTTCAAAATGCACACAAGAAGCAGGGTGATGTCAGGAAGCTCAAGTTCCACATTTGATAATACTGGCTGTGTGTGTAACCTCTCAGTGCTCCAGACTTCTCTCTTAAGACTAAAAATTGCAGAATAGTTGCTGATTTCTTTGGCTAGCGTTTCCTTGGGAGGCATTCACAACACCAAATACAATGACAGATCTGGATAAAGAACCATAACCTTGTATTATCCACCTCATAAGGTTATTGGGAGGAAAACACTTTGTAAACCTTATATAATACATATAAATATAAAATATGTAAATATATATACCATAATATATGTACATTTAAATATGAACTATTATTGTAGTAACCCTGTGATGAAACTAAGGCAAGTATAATTATCCCTATTTTAAAGGCAATGAAGCAGGTTAAGGGAGTTGTCTATGATACAGCTAGTAAATATCATTTAGTTTAGAACCTGAACTAGAACCTGGGTGTTCCTCACCAATCTAGCAGTGCTGTTTCCACTGTTAGCACTTAGGGTACTAAATAACAACTCAGTAATTTTCTATTTTCTATTCTGCCTAATATACCAAGACCACCTCCATTTCTGCCATAGTGTAGGCAGAATAGAGCTTACATCATCCTAGCCCATATCACTCTCTGTTTCCTGACCTTCCACCAGCGTCCAGTCTATTTCCCAGCCAATGGGCCTGGGCCCCAGCAGTGAGTGCTGTCTTTTCCGTCTTAGAGCTATTAAGTCACTGGAGGGAGAAGTGGCAAATATTTTCTAGCTGAAGTCCTATTACTCAGCCACAGGGAATCATAGATTGGGCATTGTGCCCACCAGTATGCAGCTCTCTCCCCCTAGGTAAATGAATGCTCCCAACACTAGAATCATCTTGGAAATTCCTATCTCCTTTACCTCTTCCCTCTTCCTCCCCCACCCCAGAAACACATCCATTAATTGCCAAGTCAGGTCAATTTTACTTCCATAATGTCTTTTCCATCTTTTCTTTTCTCTTTACTCTCTTGATGCCACCTCTGGCCCTTATTACCTCTTATATAGACTTATAATAACAGCTGGCATTCATATAGCTCTATGTGGTTTGCAAATAGCTTTGTCATCATGATAATATCTCTGCTCAGAGGCTCACTCTGCTGACTAGTAAGTCCCTACTCTGGACCCCACCATTTCATTTAAAATTCTTTACCTCAATTACATGTAAATTTTTTAAAAATTCACTTTTTTTAAATTTTGAGTTGCAAATTTTCTCTCTTCTTCCCTCCACCCTCACTGAGAAGGCAAGCAATTTAATATTGATAATACATGTGAAGTCATGCAAAACATATTTCCATATTAGCCATATTGCACAAGAAAACAGACCAAAACAAAGTAAAAAAAAGTATGCTTTAATCTGCATTCAGACTCCATTAGTTCTTTCTCTGGAAGTAGACAGCATTTGTCATCATAAGTCCTTCAGAATTGTCTTGGATCATTGTATTACTCAAAATAGCTGTCATTGACAGTTGATCATTGTACAATATTGTTGTTACTATGTATGATAGTTTCTTGGTTTTGATCACTTCACTTTGCATCAATTCATATGTCTTCCCAGGTTTTTCTGAAACAACCCCCCCTTATCATTTCTTATACCAAAATAGTATTCTATCACAATCATATACCATGACTTATTCAGCCATTCCCCAGTTGATGGTAACCCCTCAATTTCCAATTTTTGGCCACCACAAAAAGAGCTGCTATCAATATTTCTGTACATATATGTCCTTTTTCTTTTCCTTTGATCTCTTTAAGATACATCAGACCTAGTAGTGCTTTGCTGGGTCAAAGAGTATGTGCACAGTTTTTTGGGCATAATTCCAAATTGCTCTCCAGAATAGTTGGGTCAGTTCACAATAATGTATTAGTTGGACCCACTCCCCACCCCTCACCCCCATTTCATAAAAAGCCCTAGGTTTACTACCAGCTTAATTCCCTCTGGATGTCTCTTATCTCCTAGAGAACATCCTTGCCCTCTCTCCTCCTCCCCTGATCTCCAGTTCCCCCTTATGTACTGTCTTTCTCCACTAGGATAAAAGTGCCTTTAACATAACGACTGTGTTATTTGCTTGTATGTGTATCCCCAGCACTTAGCACTGCACCTTTAATAAATGCTTTATCATTTCATTTGATCCTTGCACAACCTTGTATGGCAGATTTTATAGATCAGCAAATTGACCAATGTTAAATGTTAAGCAATGTGCCCAGAGTTACATAGCTAATAAGCAAATCAGGCAGGACTTCAGGTCTTCTTGACCCTAAGCCCCACATTCTACTCACTATGCCTTTAGTCTCTCCTCCAGTCTATTTTTTCCATAGTTGTCAAAACCCAAAATAATCTTCCTGATAGCACCAGCCCTGTTGCCAGCCCCAAACTCCATAGCTGTCGATGATGAGAGCAGTCGACATCAGTGACCAACCGCTGCTGTCAGGTAAACCCAAGAGCCTCAAGAATGGCAGCACCTTCCAGCACAGTCTTGTAACCAAAATCTCAGGAAGCAACCTTTGGAAAGATGCCACCTAACAAATGCTTCTGCCACGTGCTAAAAATCCAGGCCACTACAGCTACTAAAGACCTGGAAAATAAAACTCTTGATACCAAATCCTTGGCTTTGGTTCAACATCAGAAATGGATATGATTATTAGTAAAAAAAAAATCACATTTTAAAAAATGTATTATCACCTGCTTTGCCTCTGTACCCTAAGAACCATAGTACCTTTTCATGTGACTTTCTACTCAAACTTCATATATATGTTGTTTTCCTGATTAAAGTGAGCTCTTTCAGAGCAATGATTGTCTTACTTTTCCATTTGTATGCACAGTGCTTTACAATTAGTTAAGCATTTAATAAATGCTTTTTTATTCATTCATAATACACAGCTTTGACCACATTACTCCTGACATGTAAGGTCCTGTGTGCTCTGGCGCCAATTTGCCTTTTCAGCTTTATTTCATGTTTTTTCCTTGTGTAAAGCCTTTATTCCAGCTGAATTAGACTTAGTTATTCCCTGATCTTATTATTGTCTCCCATATTTTGTGCAGACTATCCCAGATATGGGAAGCATTCTCTCCAACCTCAGTCTAATAAAATTCCTCACTTCAAGGAAGCCCCTATTCATGAAGCCCTCTCTGATCCCACCAACAATCCTTACCTTTTCTTAGGGCACCTTGGTCTTAGTCTGCACAGTAGGATTAGTGTGGGGAGAGAGAACAATATAATACAGAGAAGGTGCTAGCTGACTTGCAGTTGAAGAAGTTGTCTCCTTATCTGGGAGTTCCCTATACTAGTGAAATCATAGGTCCAGTATCTATTCCTTTACCTTGGGATACTCCCCATCACAAGCAGGATGTGGCTATTGCCATTCTAAGGAATCTGATAGGGGGTACAGGTGACTGAGGACTAGTTTGGTAGATTCATTTCCAAATAACATAAAAAGGAGGATCTGGGATCAGAGGGAGTAGGGAGAGTCAATAAGCACACAGGAAAACCCTAGCCATTGAAGCTAGGGCTTATGTCCTAAGGGTTGTTAATACTGATTTCACTCTGACTTATCCTTCCAATGCAGCATCTGATCATCTAGTCTAGCAATACCAACAGATACCAATATCAGAATGATAGAGAGGAACCTTTTAAAAAGCAAAATTCTGAAACTAGGCAAATAGGGTCTTGGCAGTATCCTTAGTTGCCCAGAACAATGGCATCAAAGTTAACCAGAAATGGGCACACTAATCTATTCATGAGGATCCAGGTAGGCCACGTATTGACTTAGCTTTAAAATATAATGTATATAATTTATTTAATCTATTAAATATTAAATCACCAAATTATTAAATATGAAATTAACACTAATTATTAAATAATATGTATTAAATTATTGAATATTGCCTAGTTGCATTTTAATATGGTTGGGGCTCTCAGGAGGAATCTATTTTTGACACCTCCATCCTAGAACATATTCATACTAGATATACCAGATGTAGTAGTGGCACTGCTGGATCAAAGGGTATGCACAGTTTAATTGTCCTTTGGGCATAGTTCCAAATTGTTCTCCAAATGGTTGGACCAGTTCACAACGCCAACAGCAGTGCATTAGTTTCCTGATTTTCCCACTTTCTCCAACATTTATCATTTTCCTTTTCTGTCATATGAGTCAATCTGATAGATATGAGGTAGTACCTCAGAGTTATTTTAATTTGCATTTCTCTAATCAATAGTGATTTATATAGTAAGGTGGTCTTAGTTGGACCTGGCCTTCTGGTGCAGGAAACACAACTGGAAACGCAGTGGGGGGAAGGGGGAAACAGAATAGACATTAGAAAAGGGAGTACTGGGGCAGCTAGGTGGCGCAGTGGATAGAGCACCGGCCCTGAAGTCAGGAGGACCTGAGTTCAAATCCGGCCTCAGACCCAGCACTTCACATGTACTAGCTGTGTGACCCTGGCCAAGTCACTTAACCCCGATTGCCTCACTTAAAAAAAAAGAAAAGGGAGTACTATTAGCCCAACAAGGAAGGCAGTGCAGACAAGCTAGGTTAGAGAATGTTTCTGTCCTTGATAGTGCCTTCTGAGCTATTCTTTTTCCTTTACGTCACACTGGATTCAGAGGTTGGAAAGCCTGATAACCAGAGAGAAGGGAAGCCTGACACATTCAATTAATTAATGCAAACAAACACATAATCCATCCAGAATTATTTTTCTTGTTTATTTACATAGAATTCTTTTACATTAAGCTCTCATATGGAAAGTGGTGAAATATAGTGTAAAGAATACTGAGACATTTTCAGATATAGCCAACACATGAATTTGTTGTACTTGACAATACTGACATGTTACAGGGGAGAGCTTTAATTTCTGCTGGGCTGTGAGGAGGGAGCAGAGGAGTAGCCATAGTGATACAAAAAAGAAAAGAATGTCAATTAAATATTAAAAATTTTACAGAAGGAAACCTAAAAGGACACACAAGCAAGCAGGACAGTATTGGTAACATCTTGTTAAATTTAATACACAGATTAAAAAAAAATAAGCTGTACATAATAGAGATTCATAATTTTATATACAGTTGCTTTCTGTTGTTCTTTATATGTTGAAATATTCTTATTTATTGCAGTCATAAAAATGTTATTTTTTTTAAAAGAAGCATTGTACCTAGAATCATGAAGTGTTGTTTAGTTGTGTCCAACTCTTCAAAACCCCATATGGAGTTTTCTTGGCAAAGATATTGGAGTGACCCTAGCTTCTGGGATAAGAACTCACTATTTGACAAAAACTATTAGGAAAACTGGGAAATAGTATGGCAGAAATTAGGTATAAGCCAACATCTTACAAATGGATACATGATTTAAACATAAATGGTGATACCATAAGCAAATTAGGAAAGCAAGAAACAGTTTGCCTTTCAGATTTTTGGAAAAGGGAAGAATTTATGACCAAGCTATAGAGAGCATCATGAGTTGTAAAATAAATAATTTTGATTAGATTAAATTTAAAAGGTTTTGCACAAACAAAACCAATGCAACCAAGATTAGAAGGAAAGCAGAGAGCTAGGAAATAATTTTTACAGCAAGTGTCTCTGATAAAGACTTCATTTCTCAAATATATAGAGAAATGAGTCAAATTTATAAGAATGCAAGTCATTCCCCAATTGATAAATGATCAAAGGATATGAATAGGTAGTTTTCAGATGAAGCAAAGCTATCTACAGTCATTTGAAAAAACTATATAAATCACTATTGATTAGAGAAATGCAAATTAAAATAACTCTGAGGTACCAACTCATATCTATCAGATTGACTCATACGACAGAAAAGGAAAATGATAAATGTTGGAGAAAGTGTGGGAAAATCAGGAAACTAATGCACTGCTGTTGGCGTTGTGAACTGGTCCAACCATTTGGAGAACAATTTGGAACTATGCCCAAAGGACAATTAAACTGTGCATACCCTTTGATCCAGCAGTGCCACTACTACGTCTGGAGATCATAAAAAAGGGAAAAGGACCTACATGTACAAAAATATTTATAGCAGCTCTTTTTGTGATGGCCAAGAATTGGAAATTGGGGGGATGCCCATCAATTGGGGAATGGCTGAACAAGCTGTGGTATATAATGAAATGGAATACTATTTTGCCATAAGAAATAATGAGCAGGATGATTTCAGAGAAACCTGGAAAGACTGATACAAAGTGAAGTGAGGACAGGAGAATATTGTACATAGTAACAGCAACACTGTGTGATGATCAAGTATGACTGATGGAGCTCTTCTCAGCAATGCAATGATCAAAGACAATTCCAAAAGATGGATGATGGATGCTATCCACATCCAGAGAAAGAATTGTTGGGGGTTCAAATCCTACCTGATGTTTACTAGTTGTATAACCATTAGACAGTCCCTTTTAGTTCTGTCATCTATAAAATGTGAGTAATATTGATATTCTCAATTTCTCTAGGTTGTTGTTCAGCTAATATGAGAATATATATATATATATATATATATATATATACACTATATATAAAATTCAGTTGTTTTTAGTCACGTGTGACTCTTTGTGATCCCTTTTGGGGTTTTCTTGACAAAGATACTGGAGTGGTTTGCCATTTCCTTTTCTATCTCATTTTACAAATAAGAAACTGAGGCAAACAGTTAAGTGACTTGCCCAAGGTCATACAGATAATAAATGTCAGAGGTAGGATTTTAACTCAGGTCTTCCTGACTCCAGGCCCAGTGCTCAATCCATTGTGCCAACTAGCTGTCCAATGTATACATTACATGTTACAAATCCCTCTACTCCTCCCATATAAGAAATAATATTTTTAAAGACAAAAAAAAAAGAAGAGAAAAATGAGCACAATCAATCAATATATTGAAAAAGTCCAAAAACAAGGGTAATGTGTATCTCCTGTGGATGTCCCACCTCCTAGAAGCGGTAGATTGGGAATGTCTTTTCATGTCTCTTCCTTGAGTCAGGTTTGATCTTTATAATTTTTCCAACATTTTTTATTTTTTTGTGTATGGTTGTTCTTTTCATTTACATTGTCATCACTGTCCATATTGTTTTCTTGGTTCTATTTACTTCACTCTCCATCAGTTCATGTAAATCTTTCCATGCTTCTCTGTATTCGACATATTCATCATTTCTTGTAGGACAGTAATATGCCATTATATTCATGTACCACAATTTGTTTAGACATTCATCTCCCAATCAATGAGCATCTACTTTGTTTCCTATTCTTTGCTATGACAAAAAGGGTTGTTATAAATATTTTGGTGTATACAGAGACTTTCTTCTTATCAATGGCTTTCTTGGGGTTTAAACTCAGTAATAGAGTCTCTGGTTCAAAGAGTATGAACATAGTCACATTAGTGACTACTTTTTTTAGTCACTGTATTTGTATTATTCAAATTTCTTTCCACAGTCCTCTTTTTCCATTGTTAA